TTGCTGTTATATGTTGATGATATGCTGATTGCTGCCAAGAGTAAGATTGAAATCACTAAGTTAAAGAAGCTATTGAGTAGTGGTTTTGATATGAAAGATCTTGGTAGTGCTAAGAAAATTCTTGGTATGGAAATTAGTAGAGACAGAAAATCTGGTTTGCTATTTCTTAGTCAACAAAATTATATCAAGAAAGTTCTTCAGCGTTTCAACATGCAAAATGCTAAGGCTGTTAGTACCCCTATTGCACCTCACTTTAAGTTGTCAGCTGCTCAGTGTCCTAGTACAGATGCAGAGATTGAATACATGTCGAGGGTTCCTTATTCTAGTGCTGTTGGGTCTTTGATGTATGCCATGGTTTGCTCTCGTCCAGATTTGTCATATGCTATGAGTCTTGTTAGTAGATATATGTCTAATCCTGGCAAAGAACATTGGAGGGCAGTTCAGTAGATTTTCAGGTACCTCAGAGGCACAGCAGATTCCTGTTTAAAGTTTGGAAGAACTGATAAGGGTCTTATTGGCTATATGGATTCTGATTATGCTGGTGATCTGGACAGGCGAAGATCACTTACAGGTTATGTGTTTACTGTTGGCAGTTGTGCTGTGAGTTGGAGGGCTACTTTACAGTCAGTTGTTGCTTTGTCTACTACTGAAGCAGAATATATGGCTATTTGTGAAGCGTGCAAAGAATTAATTTGGCTGAAAGATTTGTACGCTGAGTTTTGTGGAGTTGAATCTTGCATAAGTTTGCACTGTGACAGTCAAAGTGCAATTTAACTCACTAAAGATCAGATGTTCCATGAGAGAACTAAGCATATAGATATCAAGTATCATTTTGTGCGTGATGTGATTGAAGAAGGTAAGCTGAAGGTATGCAAGATTAGTACTCTTGATAATCCTGCTGATATGATGACAAAGCCTGTTCTTGTTGCTAAGTTTGAGCTGTGCTCAAGCTTAGTTGGTTTAATTGGATAGTCCAAGAAACTATTGTTGGCACTAGTGATTTTCTATCTTTGTTATGTTCAGGATGAAGGGTTGATTTATGATACAAGATGAATTTGTTTCAAGGTGGAGTTTGTTGGAGTTGTTCCAAATTCATTCCAGGATATAGGCCGGGCTTCTGACGGAGCGGAGCGGAGACCCGTCGCCGGAGGCTTGGGTCGGAGACTTGATTCTCTCTTATAAGCCGTCATAGGCGTGTAACCCAAAAACTCTTGAGATAGTGAGATTGTTGCTGGCTGGTGCCTGTGGTTTTTTTCCTTCACATTGAAGGGGTTTTCCACATTAAATCGTATGTCTCCTCTGTGACTTGATTCTTTACTTCATATTGGCCCAGGCGGAAAGCGAGCCAAGAAGCCCAACAAGCGCGTACTAGGCCCGGAGTGGCAAAACTGATGCAAACTCGGTCCAAGCCCAGCTGCGACCGGTCAAAGCGCTGTCTTGGTTGTCGTCGGAGTTGTTGGCGGCGGGTTGCGGCTCGAGTTGGCCGGTGGCAACCTTAGCCACCGGAGCTTGTAAACTCCGTACTATCCTATATCAGATTCATAGTAGTATCATATAGTATCCTAACATTCTTTGTACGTGCACTTCTAGATTTAGTATGTACTTATCAGCTGCAGCACATACGATCTGTACCCGTCGCACGTCAAATCAGAAAGGGAGGATGCAACACCCACCGGCCACCGCCACCACGTACAGCACCTGTCCGTAGCAATCATCACGCGGCTCCGAGGTCGAGGTGGTGGCTAGAACACAGCACGGATTTCACGCAGCGGAGGCACAAGCTTCATGCTCGCTCTCCGCCCAACACTTTCCTGAAGAATGCCGCTGCTGTTTATACGAACAGAGCAATAGTTGGTGTTATGAGCGAAGGCTGGGAGAGGAATATGGGGTGTTTGGATCCGGAATTAAAGTTTAGTCCGTGTGAACATTTGGAAGGCGGCGACGTCGGCGAGTGGTGGACACACCAACGCCGCCGGGTGGATTCGGCATCGTGATCCCTGTTCGATTCGCTGCTGCTGCTGGTTGCCTGGTCGGTTTGGAAGGAGAGGAATTGCAGGGTGTTCGGGAGGCCGCATTTATCCGTGCAAGAGGTTGTCCGGGCGGCGTTCAAGGAGGGCGAGGATTGGGCGATGGCTGGTTTCGCGCCCATGTCTGTGCTGGCTCATTTGTGGTCGCAAAACAATGCTGTAATGTAACGCCTATCTAGGATCCAATAGCTAGGTCTGTCAGGGCGTCTGCTGGGGGCTCCTCGCCGCCACCTTCTCCTTGTGTTGGTTGTAAAATGCTTTCCCTCTTCGTGAAAAACGGGTGAAAACCTGCTCGTGAAAAAGGCCCCGTTCATTTCGTTAAAAAAATAAACCGAAACACTGTTCCGGCTGATTTGTTTAAAGAGAAAACACTGTTCCGGCTAAAAAAATAAGCTGAAAAGTACTGATTATAATACAAGCGAACAGAGCCAAAAACATCGAACGTTTGAGGACCAAACATGAGCTAATTATAAAACTAATTGCACAGATAAAGACTAATTTGCGAGATAAATCTATTAAGCCTAATTAATCCATCATTCACTACTAAAATGGTGGAATTCTTCTAGTGTTTTTAAGTAGTATTAAAATATTACCACTAGTCATAGCACACGAGAATTTCTCTAGAGGCATTAGTAGGAAAAATTTATACTAAATTTTGAATACCAAAATACCAGTGTGGGAACCCCACCTTACTAGGAGAAATTTAATATTATGATTATGATTAGCGCATGCTACTGTAGCACCACATTGTTAAATCATAAACTAATTAGTTTTAATAGATTCGCCTCACAAATTAGTCGCTATCTATGTAATTAGTTTTGTAATTAGTTTATGTTTAATACTATAAATTAGTGTCAAACATCCGATCTGACATGACTAAACTTTAGTCCAGGGTATCAAAACACCTCATAAGAACTAGACAAGCAAGAAAAGAATGACGAGGATAGGATTAATATTCTGAATGTTCGTTTAGAATCTGACTCCTCGACGAGACCATCCCGATTTGTATGGGATATGCCATCACGTTACATGAGCCACGCACCGCTGAGCCCAAGTAGATGCATATTTGTTCTTAGGCCCTTTTTGTACAACTTCATAAACTATCTGAAGCTGTTTTTTTTTTGCGCAGCTAGCGCCTGGATGTTTAACGTACGTCCACGTCGGGACACAACTCTCGCGCTCGTGCCTGCATCCCATCCAACGCTAGTCCCCGCGCCCACGTCCCATCGTGACGTCAGCTCGCGGCGTCACTTCTCCGCCGCGCTCTCATCCCCGCCTCACGCCTATCCCCCGCCACGCCCTGACCTCCGTGTTTTTTTATTTTAACCTTTTTTAAACATATTTTAAAATTAACATTGACTTTTTCACATCAAACATATTTGGTCGCACCTATTATCCTAGCGGGGCCAAACAACGCTGCCGCACCAAGCAGCATGGCGCGGCTGGCCCACCACCGTGGCCAATTAGCCGGCCGCTGACTGCCGACGTGTCCGCGCTTGCCGCGCCGTCGACTCCAGTGCGATAGCGCCACGCCAACCCACCTAACATACAGACTTGCGCTCAGCTCCCTCCCCCTATGTCTCCCTCACTTCTTTCTTCCTTCCCCGCTCGGCTGGGCGCGCCTAGCGCGAGAACCGGCGCCACAAGCCTCCCCCCGGCCATATCGACCTCCGGAGCAAGTTGGTGGTCACTCCCAATTTGCAGCCTGTTCGTTTGGCTATGGCTTGTCGTAAACGATCGTAAATTTTCAGCTGGAACAGTATTTTTCTCTCACACAAACTAGCCAGCAGTACTTCTTCACGAACCAGCAACGAAACGAACCAGCCAACCGAGCAAGCTTTTGGTGGTTCATCGACCTCGGTTGCATCATCTCAGTGGCTGTGTAAGGCTATGTTGCCACGTAATGTTTTGTGCTTCGCTCATCCTCACCCATGAATCTTACGGAGTAACATCCTCTACGAGAGTACCAACAGGCATAACCTCCTCTACGTGAGTAGCAAAAGGCACATCTCTGACTGCTCTCTCATCAGCTGGTCCTGGGTAACCGGTACCTTCACCGACTGGCACGTCTGTGGCTGCTTCATCATCGTTCGAAGCCTCTGAATCACCGCTAACTTCGTCACCAATCCTTTTCTCTTCCTGTTGCTCCAACTCGTCTCGCTCGTACGAACCCACATCGAAGTCGCCGTTCAAACGGCCTACTGAAAACCACCGAGATATCTACTGCCATTGGAGAAGACTGAAGTTGCTCTTACATCAACTGATTGTCCAATACCATATGCCCGGTGTTGCGTCCACATCGACCCCCATTGTTGTTCATCGCCTCCAATGCCAACAAAGGACGACACATCCTCCTTCCTATATCCATTCTCCACCATCAGCTCATCCATGGTCATATTTGACCCTTCGATTACCCTTCTGTAGCACGGATTTCACGCAGAGGAGGCAGGAGCTTCGTGCTCACCCTACGCCCAACACTTTCTTGAAGAATGCCGCCGTAGTTTTTAGTAATAGAGTGATGAGTTGGTGTTATGAGCGAAGGCTTGGAGAGGAATAAGACCTAGATAAGCAAGAAAAGAATGGCGAGGACAGGATTAGTATTCTGAATATTCGTTTACAATCTTGCCTCGTCTAATGAGGCGATCCCGATTTGTATGCCGCCATTTTATACAAGCCACACACAGCTAAGCCCAACTAGACGCGTATTCGTTCTTCTCAGGCCCTCTTTGGTACAGTTCTGTGTAAAGCTGTTTTTTTCTTCTTCTTTTTTTCTTGCTAAATAAACCTTTTACAAACGGTTACACCCATAAAGTTCATTAAAATACAGCGCTCACGTAGGAATGACAATAAGATGGGATTATAGATGGCCAAATGGGCCGCCGGACCCATTTAGCCATCTATAAACTTCTGTATGTGTACATGCTTCCTTTATGTTCTTACGGGATATACTTCTACTTGACATGATGAAATGAGCTAGTCGTGGCCTATGAAGCCCCTCCGGTGCACCCACACAAGAAGCCCATTCCTCATGTGAAGTATGGGGGAGAGCTTCGGCTCCACGACGTGGCCCGGCACCACCTGGACGGCGAAGTTCCACAGCACGGCCGCCGCCACGGTCTTCATCTGCACGAACGCCATCTCCCTGCCGAGGCACGACCTTGGCCCGGTGTTGAAGGAGAAGAACTTGTAGGACGGCTCGCGCCGCAGCTTCCCTTCCTCGGTGACCCACCGCTCCGGCCGGAACTCCATGCAGTCTTTGCCCCACACGCCCTCCATCCTCCCCATGGAGTAGTTGAAGAACAGGACCTTGTCGCCAGCCTTCAACTTCTGCCCGCTCGGCAGCACGTCGGCGGCGGCCGCGACCTTGTGCTCAAATGGGACTGGTGGGTACAGCCTTAGGGACTCGCACAGAGCAGCGTGCAGGTATACCAGTTTGTTGAGTTCGCTCGCGTGGAACGTCACCATGCTGCAGCCGGTGTCCACAGTGGAGCCTGCATTATCCCGGGAAGCAACGACGGTGGACAGCTCGCCTAGGAGCTTCTGCTCCACGCGTGGGTTCTTGGACACGAGGTAGAAGAACCACGAGAGCCCAGTGGCCGGGGCGTCGCGGCCGGCGAACAGGAGGTTCACCGTCGTGTCACGTATGGACTCGTCGGTACTCTGGTCGTCACTTGTGTTATCGTGACAGAGGTAGGATGAAAGCAAGTAGTCGTCGGCACCTTCGTTCACCATGTCTGCCCGTCGTCGTACTCGTGCAATCATCTCCGCGACGAAGCTGTCCATCGTCCGGCGTGCAGTGGCCATCTTCCGCTCGGGACCAACATTTAACCTTCTCATCAGCTTCCAGCACGCCATGGGGATGACGTGGCGGAGGAAAATCGTCTCCAGCGCTACGTCCGTGGCGCGCAGGAAGGGAACCTCTGGCAGCCCGGTCGCCAGGCACCCAGTGTCGACGCCGAAGACGAGAGCGCAGGTGAGGTCGAACGATAACCTCAGGAACACGTCCTGCAGATCGCACGGCCTTCCCTCGTCGGCGGCGAGGGCGAGGAACGGCAGGAGGCTCTTCTCCACCTTGTCGCGGCTGCACCGTGCCGTGAAGGCGCGGAACCGTGGAGCGGTCATGAGCATCTGGGCCTTCACCCGCTGGCGCCGCCACGACTCCCCATCGGAGTTCTTGATGCCAGCGCCAAGAAGAGCGTCGAAGATCTCGGCGTACTCGTGGCCTTTGGGGTAGTTAGCGAAGTTGGAGGTGAAGATGTGGCGCACGTTGGCCGGGTCGCAGGTGACGAAGTACCGCTGGCCGGGGACTCCTTTAACTCTGAAGGTGTAGCCGGCGCCGGCGAGTTGGGCGGTGGTCCAGTCGTGGAAGTAGTGGATGTTGGCGACCAAGCCGGGGAGTATCCCCACTACTGGCCATTTGATGGGAGCCAAATGGCTCGTTTTCTTAGATTGCAGGTGGCGGTAGTACAGGATGAGAAAGCAGAGAATAAGGAACAGCTCTATGAGGAGCAAGAACGGATCCATGTCTGGCGAGAGATGGAGCAAACAACACGGTGCTGCATGGTGTTATTTATACTGCATGTAGCCGCACGCAAAGGCCAAGAATTCTGAGGCTGGTGAGACGTCTGCCATCGGTAAGTGACGGCTCAAGTGACGCATGAGCTTTGTTAAAGCTGATGGCAGGTGCTCATCCATTAACAGTGTGCATCCGCAATAGTGCAACAAGTGCATGTTTTTATTGATATGTGCGTGTTGACAATGAAGCAGGACTAGCTAGGAGAGCACCTGGAGCCTGGGCAGCTAGTTCAAGTCCTGCTAGCTACAGCCTTCTAGGAGCCTGTCCCAAACAGGCTCTAAGGCTGCTACAGTCTTCTAGGAGGCTGCTAGGAGGTTATTAGGATTGATGCAGTCAGCAGGACGACTGTGTAGCAATTGCTCGATTAATTAATCTAGGGTAAAGTATAATTTACACCCTCCAACTATCGCGAAAGTATAGATTTCAACCTCGAACTTCAAAACCGGATAACTTTGACCCTCCAACTCTTGAAAAAGTTTAAATTTCAATCTTCTGGGCGGTTTTGCGTATGAACAGTATTTTTGATATTTTTAGGATTCGCTGAAATTTTATATTATTTTTTTAAGCATCTTAAATAGAAAACCTCCTCAAATGAAAAATGAAGATAAAACTATGTAAATTGTATATCTCATTGAGATCTACAACTTTGGTAGTAAAAAGTATTTTCATTTGAACTCCATACAAAAAATATATAAAATTTCTAATCCATAATAATCACCTAGTTAGCGATTATTATAGCACTGAAATTTTATATTATTTTTTTCGAGCATCTTACTGTCCTCAAATGAAAAAATTTTTATCAAAACTTGTAAATTGTAGATCTCAACTTTGTAGTCTAAGTTTTTTCATTTGAGGACATTAAGATGCTTCAAAATCCATATAAAATTTCAGCTTTCCTAAAAATATCAAAATAGAGTCTCATACGCAAAAAACGCCCGTAAGGTTGAAATTTGAACTTTTTCAAGAGTTGGAGGGCCAAAGTTATCCGGTTTTGAAGTTCGAGGTTGAAATCTATACTTTCGCGATAGTTGGAGGGTGTAAATTATACTTTACCCATTAATCTATGTCCCCAACCCTCATAATTAGTATGTCGGACGCTAAGCTATGACATATTTGGCGCTAGATTAATTTTTCCGCTATTAGCGTCTAATAGCGTGCTATTTCCGCTAAGTCGAGGTTCATTTAGCGCCACTATTCTGCGTGGGCTTTTATTTTCCTCGGCCAAAATCACGCGCAGGCCCAAATCGCTGGGAAATCTACCGATAGGAAGCTGTCACATGCATAACCCTGGCCATTGGACACCGTTCCTCCCGAGCTCGTGTGAGTGCTGGCGGCGGCGCCGCCGGATGCTGTTGCTGCTGTGACTGGCGAGCGGCGAGGGTGCAAGACCGGCGAGGGGCGTCGGAAGTGCAGGCGGCGGTGAGCTGCGGCACCGGCTGCTGTTGTTGCAGCGACTGCAAAGGGTAGCGGCGAGAGCGCACGGGAGTGCAAGCGGCAACGCCTGCTGCTGTTGCTGCGACGACGGCCATGTCCCAGTCTCAGCGAGAAGGCAAGATTCTTCGAACTCTTCTCATTTTTCCTCTGTTCTTTAGGTATTGGGGCGCTGGATGTGAATGGTAGTGACGTAGTGCTGCATCTCATTCTCATGGTGAACGGGCCTTGCTAAGATACCTCTCCATTACCTTATAGGAGGTAAGATCTCAAATTAATCTCAACCCTTGATTCTTAAAATTCATACAATAATTAAGTAAGTATTAATTAATTAAAATATATTGAAAAAAGGAAAAAGAAAAGGGAACAAACTAAATCAACGCCAAAAGCTTGTTTGTTGCCATACATGGGTGCACCTGCACAGCATGCAACGGCGGCATATACTCCTGTACGGGTGTAGCGGCTTTGGCAAGGTAGAGGTACACCAACACCACGTACGTGAATACATCCGGTGGTATGAATGAATCTAATAAATCAGCGTGAAAAGTTATGTTCCGATGACTGACCGTAGAACTTGTTACCAACATACATTTGCAAAATACTAACGTTCCGAGAATACCAATGTTAGGATTATGAATAAAAATAAATAAATAATTTAAATACCAACACGTTCAAGGCAGGTACGGTGTCGTTCTTATTACCAGTAATTTAAATATCAACACGTTCAAGACTGCTCTCGTTAACAACACACTCATGATCCCAGTTTTTGATAAATAATTAAACTATTAAAGCACACCTCTAATTTTGTCACATTAGAAGAAAAAAATACAACTCACGTATAGGTACAGCTAACATATAAAATACATTACCTGCTGCCTGGGGAGCTAGTTCAAGTCCTGCTACAGTCTTCTAGGAGGATGCACCAATCCTGCTGCAGTCTTCTAGGAGGCTAGGACTGATGCACTTAGCAGGACGACTGTGTAGCAATTGCTCGGGCAATTAATCGGTGTTTACGTGCACATGTAAAGTTTTCGATTGTCACATCGAATATTGTATGGAAGTGTCGCATGAGGTATTCGGATGCCAATAAAAAAACAAATTACAGAATTCGTCAATAAACCACGAGACGAATTTATTAAGTCTAGCTAATTCGTCGGCAACTAAACAAGCGCTATGTCCCCAACCCTCGTAACTGGGGTTGTCCAGTTTTGTACATCTTCTTGTGTGTGCAGTTTTCTAGATTATCAGCTGCTACAGCATAGGACGATCTGTACGACACGTCAAATCAGAAAGGGGAGGATGCAAATGCAACACCCACCGGGCTCCAGCACGATCACCGTTAGCCGTCCCCATCTGCGGCTCCGGTACTGAAACTGAAAGCCACCTTTGCAGGTGTCTGCGTCCGTGCCAAGCACGTCGACGCTAGGGATCAACTCGTTCATGTTAAGGCACCACTCACCGTTAGCCCGTTGCTCCTCCGACCTGATCCTGGACGAGGTGTTGCAAAGGACCGATGGAGTCACGGCCATGCCGGCGCACCGATTGCAGCTGTTTGGACGCCCTGAGGCACTTGGCGTAGGTTGAGAGCAGGAAGGACATTGAGGTCTCCACGTCTCGTACTGCAGGCGAAGCTGCCTCCCTCTGCGCTCGTGCCCGAGGCTCACCGATGGCGAGGCCGTAAAAGCTCACAGGCACGAACATATGTCCATTGGGCCTGATCAGGACGAAATTAAATAAACTTGTTAGTTGGATGCTTTAAGACTTGTGCAGTTCTCATGAAAGGGACTACCGGAGCAAAACTCAGGGCGTGTTTGGCGGAGCTTCTCGTGGCTCCGGTTGCTCCTACATATCGTACTGTAGCAGCACTGCTCGTAGGAGCCGTTTTTCTCTCTTCCGTCAAAATAAACTAGGAGCCAAGAGAAGCCACGATTCTTAGCTCCTTTGGCTCTGGCTCTAGCTCTAACTCCTCTGGTACTGTAGTGAGAAGCAAGAGCCCGAAAGAGTCATGCCAAACACGCCCTCAATCTATTTATAGTTGTATTCATATCGGACAAAAAAATGATAAATAAGTGATATTTATGTCTGATTATACATGGATATTTAATCCGTTTTCCACACCTGAGTCTGTCTGTGTGCAGCCGGTTGGATGGTTTGTGGCAGCCGCCAGCCGGGGCAATTGCACGGCATGAGATACGGAAGGAGCATTGGTGGATGTCGTGAGCACACAGTTGGTAGCTGGGGGCAGTCATGGTCGCGAGATACTATATAGTAACAGCAGGGGTAGTGAGCCACAAAAAGGAAAAGCGTAGCAGGAAGGAAGACGGAGAAAGACAGCGCGCTTCTGCTGAGTTGTGAGGATGACAGAACAGGCGCCACCACCGCCAGCATGGCTGTTCCTGTTGCTCGCTTTCGTGGGCGGCGTCTACTCGGCGTCGATGTCTTTCCGCCTCCTCTCCTACCTGGCTCTTTCCTTGCGCCGCCCGAGGGACCTACGCCGCCGGTACGGCGCGTGGGCCGTGGTCACCGGCCCGACGTCAGGCATAGGCCGGTCCGTGGCTCTGGAGCTCGCGCGCCGCGGCCTGAACCTCGTCCTCCTCGACCTCGACGCCGCCAACCTTGAGGAGACCTCCGACATGGTCATGTCTCGCCACGGCGTGGAGACCAAGACCGTGGTGTTCGACCTCTCACTCGTCGGCACCGCTCGAGGTACGGTACCTCCTCCGCGTTTGGCCACGCACGGGCACTTGCATTAGCTTCCTCCTCTCTTGGAGTCTTGGTTGTCAGGCGACGAGTCCATGAGGCGGCTCCGAGCAGCGATGGAGGGGCTGGACGTCGGTGTGCTGGTGAACAACGCCGGGGTGGCAAGGCCGTCCATGGTGTACCTGCACGAGGCCGACGTGGAGGCGTTGGTGCAGATGGTGCGTGTGAACCTGTGGGCCCTGACGGAGGTGACGGCCGCTGTCCTGCCGGGGATGCTGGAGCGCGGGCGGGGAGCCATCGTCAACATGGGCTCCGCGTCGTCGGAGGCCATCCCCTCCTTCCCACTCAACACCATCTACGCCGCCACTAAAAGGTACGTACGTACGTTTCAGCACACTATTATATGCTGTAGTACGACGTTACATAAAGCAGAGGCTGCTGCTGCTGCTGGATTTCATTCATTTCATCAGCTAGCTGTCTCCTGCACCGTCGTCTGTTCATCTTAAGCGCATGCAGGTACGTTGCCATGTTCTCCCGGAGCCTTCACGTCGAGTATAGAAGCAAAGAGATTGATGTACAGTGCCAGGTAACCAGCAAATTTCCGTAGCTCAAAAAGATTAGACATCGGCTAGTTGCTCACATTCAATTCACTGGTCTGCACTGCACTGCACTGCAGGCCCCGTTCTTCGTGGCGACCAGGATGGTGGGCTGGGCCGTGCGAGACAATTGGCTCTCGCCGCTCGTCCCCACACCAGACGCCTACGCTCGCGCTGCGACGCGCTGGATCGGCCACGGCCCGCTCTGCACCCCTGCTCTGGGTTACCAGCTCCTGTGGTGCCTCGCGGGCATCCTGCCGGACGCTGCGCACGACTGGCTCCGCCTGCGCGAGCACCGGCGGCTGAGAGCGCTGTTACGGGGAATGAGGGCGGCGAGGGCGTCCAGAGCTGGGCCGGATGCAACAAACTGACTTTCTTAGCACTTGTATCCTCAGTTTTTTGTTACGGATCTGTCTATTTGGAACTTGGTGATTTGACCCATTTGAACACTCAAGCAATTTGAGAGGACAAATCACACAAATAAGACAAAATACAAAATTTGTGTGATTCAAGCCTAATGCTCACATGAGTAATCATACAGTAGAAAACACACAATTAGCCAAATAAAAAAAATTCGAGTGAAACAAACCTGAATTTCACTCGGATTACCAGAGACCACCAAATACCTTCCCGCACCACCACTACAAAAACTGAAACAAAAAATATTTAAAGTAAAAACAAAAAATAAAGAACAAAATAAAAAACCAAAAAATTTCTATGAATTGCAAAATCACAGAAAATTCTGAGGGAACTGCCTCAAACAAACATACCAAACAACAAAAAAAGAAATACAAAAAATAAAAAAAAAACCAAAACCAAAAATTTTCTTTGAAATGCAAAATAACAAAGATTCTGAGGGAACTGTCTCATACAAACATACCAAACAACAAATTTTTAATATGGAAAGCTAAACCAAAAGAATTATGAGGTCATTATATTAATCAAACAAACTTCAAAGAATGATAATACAAAAAAGTAAAAATCATAGAAATAAGTAATGGATTTTTTGCACTTAGTACTACTTACATAAATAATACCTATAAATTACACCTGATGAACACCTGTAGGTGAAGTTGAACTCTACTGTAACTAGGATAATTGTGTAGTTAACAATCATGGTAAATGAAAAGAAAGCAAAGATCCAATCAAATCTTGGAGCAATAAGCCACACCCTTGTAATCATAATACACCTGTTATAAGGAACACAAGAAAGATTTATAGTGGACCCAAGACTTGGAAGAGTCCCAGAATTACCGGGCTAGCCTGGATGTAGCCTTCTTTGCTTATTGCTATATGAAGTTTGACATATACCAGCGGTACTGCCAAATGGCAAGCAACTGATTAAGGATTACATTTCACTTTTTCTATATACGATACGTTAAACAAAATATAGATGAAAAAATGGCAGCGTGATCACACAATGTGGCACGACTTATATTATTTAAGCTCCAAATTTCAGAACACCTAGCCTGTTCGACTGGTATTAAAGCTAGCTAATAAGCCGGCTGAAGCTGTTTTGTTGTGAGAGAAAAATATTATAGATTCTAGCTAATAAGCCGGCTGATAAGTTCAAGCGAACATGGCATACACGGTAGAAACAACTTCAACTGATCTGACACAAACATTAAAGATTTGAATATAGACAGCCAACATAAAAGCAATGACTGAAAAGAGTCTTATGAACAATATAGAAATTCAGATAAAAAGTAAGGTTGCATTGCCTTAAAGTACCAACAAATATAGGAAATCAACAACAAACACAGGAAACCAATATTTCAGAACCTGCAAAGCCTCAGACCTAATGTATAGGAAAAACTATGTCAGCAAAGAAGAGTGGGATAATTGAGATGATGAAGGAGTAGAGCAGTACCTCATATTTGTAAGTGAGAGCCTTCATACATAATGAGGGAGAAGGACATTTGGAGCTAACATATCGGACCTAACGAACAAAAATTGAGATCAAACTATGGAAAAATGATATAGAATATAACAAATGAACAAATAATGAGAGCACGAGAAATTGAGGTCAAAACAAATAAGGAAAAAACAAAAAGCGGAAATTTTCTATAGTTTCCAAAATCAAAAAGATTCTGAGGCCATGTCCTCAATCAAACAAAACAAAATAAACAAACTCCATTCAAACCATTAACCAAAAATGAGCCTAATAAAATTATTAACTTAGTATTATATACATCAGTAATATCTAGCAAATAGACCTCATTAAAAATTGAAAGTATAGTTGAACAATAGTACTAGTTACATAAAAAATACCAAGGAATTACACCTGATTGACCACTGTAAGTGCAATTGAACTCTAGTGTAAGTACAAAATTAATCCATAGTAACATGATAGCAAATTAATTAAGTGCATTTACCAAGTGGGGCCATTCTATCTTACTATGTACAGATTTTTCTACTACATTTAACAAGAAGAAAGCAAGATGAAAAACACCATACAGATCAAGCTCAAAAGAAACTACAATACCACAACATGTTGAACAACAACATCTGAGTTGTAACAAGCATCGAATCAAACTGAAACTGCTAGCTGGTATGTATGCATACAGTTAATTAAATAAATCAGGTAAAAATGAGATAGAAGATGGATGTGCAATGTAGGGATGGCAATGGCAAGACGCTACCTTACTGTGGAGGTTCGGCAGCGTGCAGCGCTAGAACTGGAAGGCCGGGGAGGAGCAGGTGTCGAACTCACTCCCTTTCTCGCTGTTGTCGTCATCGAAGGGGAAATCCAGAACCGACACGGGGCTTAGCTGTTACTTGTCCTCCACCATCATGCTGGCCCCAATCTTTCGCCCCACCGTGGAGTCGCCATCCGCTACCGCCTGCACCTGCCATCATCCACGCCATTAGCAACCATCAACACTACCGCATATGAGTCTCTGTGCGCACGCAGTAAGTACACGTCTACTGCTACAAATAGAACAAGTCTAGAACACAAGACTCTTGGTTGCAGCAGAAGATGCAGATCCAGAGCATGCAGAAAGATTAATTCTTAGTCCATATAATAGTAAATTTGCCAAAACAAAACAAGATAAAAAACACAAACAAATAATCAAAAAATGCCGTGTAGGCAATGTAGTGTACCTGGTGGCATTGAAAGGGAAAGTGCACTCAGAGAAACCTGCAGCACAACAAACACATACCAATGTTTTAGAATAATAACAAGAGCTGCTGTCATTGTCACATTGCCGCTGCAACAAGGCAAAACTCATGCGCGAACCCTAACAACAAAAAATACGAGGATTCGAAGGAAACAAAAGGAGCGAACCTTGCGGCCTGATGGAATCGTCTCTCACAAGTCCAAAGTGACATGGCGAAAAAGACGATGCGCAAATGAAACAGTCGCAGAAAACACAGGTGACTCCCAACTTTAATTGTAGAACTAAGAGCGAGCCCTGCATCCCCATATATTGAGACAAAGAAAGACAATAACAAAATAAACATAATACAAATAAATTATTACAAATACAAAGAAAATAGAAAAAAATAGAAAATTTCTATGGAACCACCTCCATATCAGGAACACCATCAGGAACCACCTCCATATCGTGCTCTCTGCTACACTGGAAAACAACTCTACAACCACATCCTCCACCACATCCAGCTCTAACTCAACGTACCAAATAGACAAATGAACAAAATTTGAGATCAAAACATCAATAATGATACATAATATAACAAATGGTCACAAAATCAGAGCATGAGAATTGAAATAAAATAGATCAATTGTATCCGTGAGTCTTGCTACAAACATGTTGTTTGGCAAAAATAACTAATGGATAAACAATCTAAATTTAATAGAAAAGAACTTCCAAGAAACAAAAAGAGAATAATAAAAACTAGCACCAAATAAACAAAATACAAAAACCAGAATTTTCTATGGAAAGCAAAACCAAAGAGATTCTGAGGGCATTGCCTCAAACAAACAAATCAAAATAAACATAGTCCATCCAAACTATGAGTCAAACATGTGCCTAATAAACTTTTTCACTTAGTATTAGATACATCAATAATAACTAACAATTACACCTAATTAACCACTGTAAGTTTAGTTGAACTCTAGTGTAAATAAAAAATTAATTCATAGTAGCATGATAGTAAATTAATTAAGTGCATTATCAGGTGGGGCCATACCTTCTTACTAGATGCAGATATGTGCTAGTAGATTTGCCAAGAAGAAAGCAAGATAAAAAACAACAAACAGATAATCAGAAAAACAAAACTGGAAATCAAATAAATTTCTATAGAAATCAAATTCAAATAAACAGATACAATGAAAAATTAAAAGACAAAGGAATTAGAATACAAATTACAGTACTACATATGATGAATGACACCAAAAATAGTCATGTAAAACTACTATAAATGATATGTGAATAAAAAATACTAATACAAACTACTATAAATGATATGTAAATAAAAAATACTAATACAGGAACAGCTTCTAATAACACATAGTAAGTAAAATCAAGCAACCAAGTCTAAGCATGGAAACACATTCATAGTAAGACAAAGGAAAAACTGAAGGGCATGTATCTAATCATGCAGGGAACAACAAGGCGAGAAAGCAACAGATAACGCATATATACAACAGGCAAGATAGCAAGCACCAGATGAAACAACTCTTGAGGAATTAACCAGATTTTTGTAAAAAAAACATAAGGAAGCATAACGACACGGGATAAAACGATCAGCTATGAGGCATCAGCAAGCTGCCAAAGTTATAAAATTGGAGAAGCAGGAAGCAGCAAGCACAAGCATGGACCAGAACATGGTAGCCAAAAATGGCAAGAGCAACGTGAGCTTTCAGCCGGGAATCAACGGTTAACAACCAAAAAGGGCAATGAATGATTAGAAAACAGAATGTGCTATGTATGGGGTGGCATAACAAAGACGGTCACAAGCAATACTAAAATCACTACAGTGATCTATAACTACGATTAAAACATCCAAGATTATGTAAATAAAATAAAATAGATATGTAAGGCCAGACATCACAAACGCATTCCTATGCACATGGATGAGTATACAATAAGAATGATCTCGGCACATTAAAATCACTAGAAAAGGCATATGCATCAGTAAATAAAAATAATCCGTCGACATATTCACTCCAACTACTACTATCAGAAAAGCAATATTCTCTGTTAAAAACACATATCATTGCTACCGAATATTCGGCTTGTTCGGCTTCTTTTTTCAGCCAAAACAATGTTTTTCTGTCACAGCAATTCAGCCGGAACAGTGTTCTCAGCCAGTTTCAGCCAAGTTTCAGACCAGCGAACAGGGCCAAAAGAACTCAACCGGACGCCCTCAAATAACTACTATACACACTAGCCCATCCAAGCAT